GAAATGACACCATAGTTCTTTCTTCTGTCCATCCAGAGAAAGATTACGCCACAATCTTGTCTACCGTGGCAAAAGTATTTGAACTGGGCATTAACGTGGACTGGCATGAAGTCTACAGAGGTTATGAAACATTGCCCACAACTCTTCCAATCTATCAGTTCGACTGCTTAAAGAAAGATATGAATTTTGAAGAAGTGAGAAAGGGGAATGAATCATCAGCTTTTTCTCCACATCCACTCATATCCAAAATAAAGCTGGATAACAAACAGTACGTGTGCAACATCTCACTGGAGAGTGCACTGTATCTATGGGAGCATAAGAACAACGGGGTTTCCATTGTACCAGGTGCAGTTTATGTTGAACTAGCTTATGCCTCGGTGATGGCAAGCTTAAACCCAAAGACACCAGCTTCTCTGCTCCAGCTCAGTGTCAGATTTGAGAGTCTGTTTACACTCAGCTCAAACTGCCATCAGTTGAAAGTAATACTTGAGCATGTGGATAATGAGGCAACTTTTAAAATACAGTCTGCTGTTGCAACACATGCCTCTGGGACATACATGAGTGCAAGTAGCCAACCACTCTTAGAGGAACCCAGAATTAGTCTCAACGTGATCTATCAACGGTGCAGATTGGTTATGAAGAAAAAAGAGATTTATTCAATTCTCTCTCAAGCAGGATTTCAATACGGCTTTGTCTTCAAACAGCTCGATGATGTGCATTTTGGGGATGAATTTAAAGAAGCTGTGACAACAATTCAAGTCCCCGTAGAACTTCTGAAACACCTTCACGACTATTTCATCCACCCTGTGTTACTGGACTATTTCCTCCAAATGACTGCAGTGGTAGCTATTGGACGGCTAACAGCCAAGCAGGGATTCCCCTCAGCTATAGGCTGTGTCACTATTTCAGCTCCACTACAAGAGAGAATGGTCATGTATTTACGAGCGACTCAAGAAGCCCCAGACTTCCTTGAAGTGTGTGGTTCCTTTTGCACCACTGAGGGGGGAGTACTTGTGGAACTCAAGAAAGTCAAGATCTCACTTTTGGGCGATTGCTCAAATGTTCTTCAGTCGCTGTTCTTTCACAATGAAATAATTACAATCCATGACAAGCCAGATTCTCAAAGTTGTAAAATAAAAGCACTAGTTTTTGAAGACAAACTCTGCATTACCAAAAGACTTCGGCCGTACTTACTCCCAGAGTCTGTCATTGTGAAGGTCAGAGACAACTGGAGGTCAAACCAACTTCGAGATGTTGTGTTTCACTCACTTAACGCTGATATGGACTTAGAAAATGTTCTCTTTATTTGGGGTGTGGAGAACCTCAGTCAGTTGTCACCTGAGCAGACGTTGGAGGCCTTGGTTACTTGCTGTGAGCAATTTCGCCAGATTTTATTAGCCTTAAAAGAGAAAAGACCATCTTGCACAGTCCACGTGATAACCTACAGGTCAACAGAAATGACTGTGGACCATGTCAGTCCAGGATTTGTTCTGTCTGGTATGACAAGGGCTTGTGCCGCAGAGATGGAGAGTCCGTCTTTTCAGCTGATTGACCTCGCTTCTGTGACAAGTGAAGACGTTCAAATGCTGGTTCATGTAATCAACACCTGCAAACAACAAGAGGTCATGATCAGCAAAGGGCAGGCATCAGCAACGAGAATAGCACGCACCCCACTGAAGTACGAGTCTTTATGTGAAGGTGATGTGCAGTCAGTGTATCTGAGCGACTTTGTACTGCAGACATCTGACTTATACAGAATGGTTTGCTTGTCTGTCAGTCCCTGCGACACAAACGTAAAACCTCTCCAAGAGACGTCAGTTGAGATCCAGCTCACCAACGGATGCGTCCATTCGTCTGATTACTTTCCTGTCACCACACCGCTTTTAAATTTCGGCAAGACGATGTATTGGGATCAACACACCTTGCAGAATCACAGACTTCTGCTTTTAGATTTTAGCGGCATTGTCACAGCCGTTGGGAAAGATGTTCAAAACGTGAGAGTGGGAGATCACATTGCTTCATGTTACCCAATTCCAGCCACGGGTAAGATGAGAGTTCCTGAAGCTGTGTGCTACAGTACAAAGAGGCTCCCATTTCTGAAAGAGACTCCATGTGTGTCTTACTTCATACTGGCATGGCAGATCCTGCAGAGGATGCTGCCTAAAGTAAAACAGCAACACAGAAAGCTGACCATTGTCTCCTCTAACCTCGCCTCTGCTCTGATTAAAGTTTTAGCTCTGACAGCAAACCGCTCGGGCTGGAACGTTTCCTCGAGGCCACATTTCAGAAGCACACCTTCACATTTTGATCAGAGTCATGCATTTGTGTTTCTGCCTCCATTTGATGAATCTTGGCAGGAAATCCAATACAGACGTGACCTCGAGAGACACGTTATCTTTGTATGTAGCAGCCACATGTCATCCTCACTCTCTGCAAACATGTTTGCATCAAAGAGTGAAAACATGCACATACATAAACTTGATGTGGCTGAAGTTCTCCAGAGAGCCACTCTGCAGGGTCAGAGCAGGGATTTCTTTAATTGGCTACAGTTATTAGGCTTCGATATAACATCCCTACCTTTGAAAAGAGAGATATTTCAATCATCAAGAACAAAAGAGCCTAAGATCGAATCTTATTTCACTGCAAAAACAGTTCAGCAGGTGGTTTTCGATAATGGAGGTTCTCATTGTCCAGTGTCTGATGTCCCTGTGCTCACCAGGCCTGCACGACTATTTCAACAAACCTGTGTTTATATTGTAACTGGAGGCCTTTCTGGTTTGGGAGTTGAGACTGTGAAGTTCATCGCCCATAATGGTGGCGGTTGTATTGCAACACTGTCCAGGAGAGTTCCAACAGATGAGACGCAGTTTGAAATGGAACTCCTCAAGAGAAGATATGGTGTTCGTGTCATTCATGTCCAGTGTGATGTTTCTGTGTTGACGCAGGTCGTGGATGCGATCTCAGAAATTAAACAAAGATTCTCTCCTTGTCCAATCAAAGGAGTGTTTCACAGTGCTGCTGTATTACACGACGCACTGATTGAAAACCTTGATGAGTCTCTCTTCCGAAAAGTTCTGCAGCCCAAAGTGAGCGGGGCTCTAAATCTTCACTGTGCAACACTTCACAACAAACTTGATTACTTTGTGTGCTACTCTTCAATCTCGTCATTCATTGGCAACGCCTCCCAGTGTAACTACGCAGCAGCCAATTCTTTCCTGGACGTATTCTGTCACTACCGGAGAAACCTTGGACTCGCTGGACAGTCCATCAACTGGGGGCCTTTGAATCTTGGTCTCTTGCTGAACAGAGACCATTTCCAGAAGTTCCTAGAGACAAAAGGGATGATGATCTTGAGCGTGTGCGAGATTCACGAAGCACTTGAAAAGTGTCTGTTGATGAACAAACCTCAACAAGTCATCTGCAAGTTCAACTTCAAAAACCTTAACATTCACGTACTTTCACAAAATTCATCTCTCAGAGAACGACTGTCAGCTTTAGTGGGAATGGAGCTTAAAGACGATATAAGCAGTGAACCCAGAGTTCATCATTTGCATTCCACAAATGAAAGTGTGAGAAAAATTGTCAGTGACATAAGCAGCGTTAGTGTAGATGAGCTGGATGATGAGTCGGCTCTGTGTGCTCTGGGTATTGACTCAATGTTGGCCATGACTCTTCAAAACAAGATTTTCCAGGAGACAGGAGTAAATGTACCTTTAGTAAGAATACTGGACCCGAACAGTACACTGGTCACTTTAGCAACTATCATAATGAATAATGGATAATTTCATCACAGAATCCCTTGAATGATGAAAATGCTTGGATTTAATATGAACAGCAGCTGCTGTTCTACTGATACGTTATCTTTCTCATAAATCTGGTTTTTAATATGCTTTTCGGCACCAATCACTCCCTGATACTGAAATGACCTCTGACGCTATTGATGAATGTGAGATTGTGTAACCTGCATTAAATAATATCAGTAAATAAACAAGTCTTATCAAGTACACAGAGAATTTGGCAGCTTCATTTATAATGTCATAAAAACACCAAAGACACATGTTATTATTTACTGTCACAAACTCCAACAATGACCATTAAAGTTTGTTATGATGTTAAATTTATTTAGTATCCATCAGAAATGTTAAGGTAAATACACCTCAGAATAGTAAAATCATTAATTAAGAGGAGTAATACATTCTTTACTTGTAATGTAACTTTTCTTTACTATAAAAACAGAGGTGTAAAGGCTTTTCACAGGTTTCTGTATCTGCTCTCATTTTATTTGTCTACATGATAATAAATTATAAATTAAAATAGCAAAAGCCTCAGAGATCACACATGCTTATCAAAAATGTACAGGACGTGTCAGAATACTGTATCGCATGATTTTTTTTTTTCCATCATCATTTTAAAGACAATCGGTGATAAGAACAGACCATGACCCGTCGAGTGATTGTAAAACAGGCAGATAAGAGTAAGTTGATATCAGTCTGATCCCATCACAGACTTGAAAGATTACATTTTGATGAAATGAAAAATAATGTACATACTCAACATCAATTGTAAACACTGAATGCATTACATTGTACATTTTGTTTTAAATTCTGTTCATATTTTCACATGAATAAATAAAAAAGGTGAATTAATAAAACTGATGGAAAACACTCAAAATGGGGCACATCTGCTGAAAAGTGGGTAAAATATTGTACATGGTTACATCAATATAAACTATTTAAAATTGCAATTTCAAAATGAAAATACATATTTACAAAAATGGTAAAGGGTTTGTATTTATATTGTACTTTCCTATTCTGAATGACCACACAAAGCACTTTACAGAACAGTTTTGCCATTCACCCATTCACACACACATTCATACAGTGCATCTATGGGCAGCACTTAACAATTAACAAAAGTTACAAAAGACAGACGACACAAACACTTCTGTATAAATCTTTCTGCATACGTATTTACATGTCATATAAATGCATTTGTCATTTTTACAATCTGGTTGAAAGATCCTCCATTTCATTTGTGGAGTTATTCGTCTCTGCGTCATCTCTGACATTGTCACCTTCAGCTCCTTCACTCAGCACAGCTACCACTGTTGATAATGTGGCGCTGGGGTCCAACAGTTTCACCAGAGGTATGTTCACTCCTCTCTCCTGAAAGATCACGTTCTGCAGAGTCATGGCCTGCATGGAGTCGATGCCCAAAGACGAGAGAAGTGAGTCATCTTTCAGCTCACTCTGATCCATGCCGATGGTTGTGGTGAGGAGAGAGGTGACGTACTCTTTGGGCGAGACACTTTTAGCTTGTTTTGCTTGAGCATCTGTTTCATCTGATTTTTTCAAAGCCTCTTCAACTAACTTGGACAGGCGCATTGTCAAGGATATATTTTGAGAGAGGATGTTGAACCTGATGTTTCTGAAGTGAAACCTGCAAACAGCCTGTTGGGGTTGATTGAGCAGGAGGCACTGCTCTAAGCTTCTATGAATTTCATCAACATCCAACACCATCATCCCTTTTGCCTCCAGAAATTGCTGGAAATGCTCCTTGTTCAAGAGGAGACCAAGGTTCAGCGCTCCCCAGTTGATGGACTGTCCAGACAGCCCGAGTTTGCGTCTGTAATGACAGAACATGTCGAGGAACGAGTTGGCTGCTGCATAGTTTGTTTGTGATGCATTTCCCAGAAAAGCCGAGATGGAGGAATAACACACAAAATAGTGTAACTGGCAGTGCAGTGTTGCGTGATGCAAATTTAATACACCCTTTACTTTTGGTTTGAGAACTTTCTCATACAGAGATCTGTCAAGGGTCTCAATCAGCCCATCATGCAAGACAACGGCACTGTGAAACACTCCTCTAACTGGACAACCAGGGAACTTCTGGCCAATGGCACTAATAACCTGGTGCACATGCTCAGAGACAGACACGTCACACTCCATGCTCGTGATGCAGTTTCCACACTGTTTCTCTATGTTCTGCATCTCTTCCTGCAGCTCTGGTATGGGCTTGCTCCGGGATAGTATGACAACAACCCCCCCCCCTCTTTGGGAGATGAACTTGACAGTTTCAAAGCCCAGACCAGAAAGACCACCTGTCACTATGTACACCGCTTTCTTTCGGAAGAGCAGTTTTTTTGTTGGTAGCAGTGGGATCTCCGACAGAGCACTGCCATTGTCTTCTTCCAGAGCAACAACAGCCAGTTTCTTTGAGTTGAAGTACGACTTTGGTTTCTTGTCAGACACATTCTGAAAGGTAAAGTTTTTTACAGCACATTTCCTGCTCAACTTCAAGGATTTGAGCCAGTGATAAATATGTGGCCTTTGCACACTCAAAGATCCCTTTTGCAAAATGGCTGGGATCAGAATCGTCTGCACGTGAATACTTTCCTTTACACTGTGGAACATGTCCTGAGCAAGCAAACATTGCATCTGAGATTCACAGATGATGACAACATGTTGGACCCTTGGGAAACTGCAAATTTTGTCAATCAGGGATTCTTCAAATGGGGGCAGGACAACAAATGCATCAATTTGTTCGACACGTACAAAAGAACCATTACACTGCGTTCCAATGACCACATTCCAGCCAGATTTGTAGGAAGTAAGTGCCAAGACTTTTGTCAGAGCAGACTCAGGAACAGGGGATATGATTCCTAGATGATTTTTGGCTTTGGGTAAGGCTCGATGCAGTATTTCCCATGCCAGCACATAGTAGGAAACACAGGGTGTTTTTTGAAGGAATGGGAATTGTTTTGTGCTGTAGCACACATCCTCTGGGACCCTGACCTTGCTGGCTGCCAACACAGGATAGCAGGAAGCAACGTGATCTCCCGCCTTCAGTTTTCTCACATCTTTTCCAACTGCGGTAACAGTACCGCTGAAATCTAGAGCCAGCAGCTTGTGACTTTGGGAGGAATGTTTATTCCAGTACATTGTCTGGCCAAATTTCAAGTGTGAGGCACTGACGGGGAAGAAATCAGATGAATGGACACATATCGTGCTGGGACGGATTTCAACTGATGTGTCACTGATTGGCAGGTCTCCCTCTTCAAAGTGAATGGCACTCACTTGAATAATCTCATGTGCATCGGCTGTTTGAAGGACGCAGGGCTCGGACATTGTTGAGGTAAAACTGCATGCTGAAGCGTCATCTATTTCAGGTGGAGTACGGACAATGGAAGGTTTTAAAATCAGTCCATCTTTTACCACCACCTCTGGGTACTTGCTGCAAGGAAATGATAGTAGGACCTCAGACAGAGCTGCAATGTCCTTAGCAGATACAGTATCTATGTCAATGAGTTGAAATGAAAGATCTGGTATCTCTGCAGCAAATGATCTGGTCATGCCAGCGATTGCAAAACCTGGATTTATGTGGTCTACTGTGACATCAGATGAACGGTAGGTTACTGCTCTAATAGAGGCTGGAAAGTGAAGTCGCTTAAGCTCAAGGACTATTTGACGGAAAATCTCACAGCAGTTCACAAGTTTCTGCAGAGCAACATCAGCTGCCTGTGAAGTGAGGTTTTCTTTGCCCCACAAAAACAACACCTCATCAAACTTTTCCTTGCTATCATGGATATTGAATTTTGCCAAGAGAGAGGGGAAGCCATTTCTCAAAATATCCTTTGCATGTGTGACTGATATGTACTGAGATCCTGAGTCCAAATGTTGTTCCAGGCCTTTAGAGATCCCCATGTCATCACAGAAGACCAAGGCCTTTGGAGGAGGAGCAGATGAGATAGTTTCAGGGATGACACTGAAGGAGTTATGGTAGAAGTACTCCTCAACCACATGAGAGTGACTGCCAAGATACTTCAATAGCACATGCTTAACCTCAACCAACACTCTGCCGTTTCTGTCTGTAAAACAGCCACAAACCTCAAAGTGATCAGTACCCACAGTCATTGCTCTCAAATACACAATCATCTCATCTTGCAGAGGTTCAAACACGGTCAAACTTCCAATTTTGGCAGGAAAGCCTGGTCTACCAGCAAAGATGTGTTCTACTGTGACTGGGAGAAGCTGCATCAGAAAATCCAACACAACAGGGTGGATGCAGTAGTCATGCAACTGTGGTCGAAGTTCCTCTGGAACTGATACAACTACAAAAGCCTCCTTGAGATCTTCTCCATAGTGCACATTCCCCTTATTCTTGAAGACATCTCCATACTGAAAGCCTCCTTGAGACAAATGACCATAGAACTCCTGAGAGCTCACAACAGATTTGCATCTTTTGAAGATGGCGCTCAGTGAAAGAGTCTGCTCCTCAATCATCCTCTCTCTTTGGGAAACAACTGTGCCTGATGCATACAATGCAGATGAAGAGAATACCGTAAAACTGGTTTCTGTCTTGGTTTGTTCCAGTTTCACCTTAATTTCAGGTGAATTCAGTGTTAAAATACATGGGCTGTGGAAATTGACACTGAGCTGTAGTGAGTTGAGTGGTACTTTTGGTTTGGCACTGGCCATGACTGCTGCTAAACCCAACTCGGCATAGAAGGCACCAGGGATGATGGGTATATTGTTGTGTTTGTGCTCTTTTAGGTAGAAAGAAGAATCTGACCTCAGATCTAGGCTGAATATGTTGCTATCACTTCCTGTCTGACAGAGCACAGGATGATTACTTGCTGTGTTTGTTTGTGCTGCTCCAATAATCACGTCTCTGTCAGAGCAATCAAACTTGTATTTTGGGAAAGGCAACGGTATTTGCTCATATCCTTTATAGAAGGTGTTCCAATCAACCTGAACCCCCAGTTCAAACAGCTTAGAAACTACAGACATGATTGTTTCATGATCTTTCCCTGGCTGCACTGAGGGAAGAACAGTTGTGTCACTATCCAGAGATTCAATGATGTTTCGCTGCAGAGCCCTTCTTGGCCCTATCTCTACAAAGACTGTGTTCTTTCCTTTCACTGCCAACCTCACTGTCTGCTCGAAGGCGACTGGCTCACGGATGTTTCTAGCCCAGTATTCACCTGTGCAGAAATCTCCCTGCTGGACCTCCTTGCCTGTCACTGTTGAGAACAACTCTGTGTCAAGATCGTTCACCTGTAAGAGGCCAATTGTTTCCTTGATTTCTGTCAGAATTGGATCCATCATGTGGCTGTGGTAAGCGGCAGGGACATTCAGGAGACGCAGGAACAGATTCTGACCTTTGGTTGAGGCACTTAGCTCTGTATGGAGGCTCTTAATTGCATCTGCATCCCCTGACAGGGTGCAAGACTGTGGACTGTTGAAAGCAGCAAGGCAAACTCTACCAGAGTAACAAGGGAGAAGAGCAGTTACCTCCGATACAGCCATGTTGCTGATCACAAGCATCATCCCGCCGGTGACTTTGCTCTGGAGCGTGCTGCGGAAATAGATGACTTTTATCGCATCCTCAAGAGACAAGAGGCCAGAGCAGTGAGCGGCTGCAACCTCACCCACAGAGTGTCCAAGTATCGCATCTGGCTTGACACCCCAATGTCTGAGTAGGGTGGTAATGCCAACCTGGATGGCAAAGAGCAGTGGTTGGACAACCTCTGGGTTTTTAAAGTCACTACTCTCAAACTCACTGTCAAGCATGTCCAGGATGTTCAGCCCACTCAGCCTTTTAAAAAGTTGTGTAATCTCTATGATTTTATCTCTGAAGACAGGTTCGTGTTTGAGGAGCTGCTTGCACATGCCATGGTAAGTGACGCCATTTCCACAGAAGACAAACACTAACCTTGGATCGGAGTAGGCTTGGCTTATATCTTTGCCAACAGCAGCCCTTAACTTATCTTTAAGATCGACTACAGATGATAACATGATGGCTTTTCGGTATCTATGTTTGAGATGGCTCCTTCTGCAAGCTGACGTGTACAAGAGAGAATCTAGATCCATTTCACGATCTGCCTCAAGCTGTGTGATGGTGTCTTCCATCATGAGAGAGAGAGATTTTATTGAATTTGCTGACATGACAAAGTACTTTGGTTGTGTCTCATCATGCGGTTGTCTGATGGGAGACTGTTTGTACTGTTTGACAACAACATGTGCATTTGTACCCCCAAAGCCAAAGTTGTTCACCCCTGCAATTCGTGCACCAGAGGCTTCCCACTTTTCTGCTTCCTGAGGAACTTTAATGTTCAGGGCTTTGGCATCAACACTGGCAGTTTCTTCAGAGTAGAAAACGGAGGGAACAATGGTCTCGTGCTTCATCATTAGGAGAACCTTAATGAGTCCGGCCACTCCAGCTGCAGATTCTGTATGTCCGATGTTGCTCTTCACCGAGCCAATCCGCAGTGTCTCTGAACCAGGAGGTTTGGCCTTAGCGATGACGTTTGAGATGCTTCCTGCCTCTGTTGGGTCTCCAACCGGGGTTCCAGTCCCATGTGCCTCTATGTACTGAACATTGGCAAGGTCGGACTCTGAGTAGATTCCTCGCAGCAGCTCCTCTTGCTGCGTCATGGAGGGTTTGGTGATCGGAGTGACTGAGCGTCCATCTTGGTTGACGGCTGTTTTGCTGATGATGCCCCAGATATGGTCATGGTCTTCTAACGCCTGCAGAGTGAAAATGAAGCAAAAATGAAACCATTGCAGTGATGTTAATCTTTAACTTGTTTTGAATGTCAGACATTTCCTTCTCTCATTAAGGATTAAACATTGATACACTGTACTTTAATGCTTTACTCATGAATGTTTTAAATACTGGAATTTCGTTGATGTGCTCGGTTAATTTCCATGTTAAAACTGTTTTTTTTAGTAGTTTTTCCTCCTTGGTGAATATGGGCTTTAGAAATAAGATTGTATTTAAATTGTTTTGGAGCCAAACAGGGTTTACAGAAAGTTAGAGACTAATATACCTTTCATGGTAATTTGTCCGGTTAATGATTAAAAGAAGAAAATGATTAGTCAGTTAATAATTGACACTGGTCTGATGTTGATAAAAAAGTATCCCTGAGTTTATTTAAGTTTTTTCCTTTCCTCATGTTTTGTCTCATTTCAAGTTTTATCTTGAAACTCTCATCTCTGTTCAGGTTCACCTCTGATGACTCACACCTGCGTTAATGTGTCTCACCTGTGTCTTGTCCCCTCTTTAGTATTTAGTCTCTGTTTCCCTCCTTGTTGCCAGTTTGTCTAGTTCCTGCTCAGCGTTCAGTTTTGTTCTTATGTGTGTGACCAGTAAAGTTTTACCTTTTGATTTTGATACCTCTGACCTTGTTGGACTGATTCCTCTGAACCGAACCGTTTGCATTAAATATTGTGAGCTTGAATTTGCTTTAGTGCTTTCGAGTTTTGCGTTTTACCCGTGTGATAGTACAAACTGGCAGAACAGGAAATGAGACACCAACATAAACTCAGGGTTGTGACATTTCTCACCTTTTTCAGTGGTTTCAGTAGAACGACCCCGCAGCCCTCCCCTCGGCCGTAGCCGTCTGCTGTGCTGGAGAAAGGTCTGCTCGTCCCTTCAGGTGAAATCATCTTGGCTTTGCTCAGAGCAACAAACACTCTTGGCTCAAAGATGCAGTTGACTCCTCCACAAACAGCCATCTCACAATCACCTGATAAGATAAAACTAATTTCATCCTTGTAATAAAAGTATGTTGTTGCTCTCTGAAGTGCTACCGCAGTACGTTCAACATGTTTTTCACACAGACCTTGTTTAATGGATTGACAAGCGAGATGAAGAGCCACGAGGGACGAGGAGCAGGCGCTGTCTATGGACAGTGACGGCCCAGTGAAGTTGAAGATGTATGAGACTCTGTTTGATGCGATGCTCATGGCGAGGCCTGTGCCAGTCCAGTGGTTGATCACACTCGGGTGCACGTGCGCAGCATTTGTTTCATAATCTCTGTTCATTAGGCCTAAATAAAAATAAATGAAACATGAAACTCAAAAGATGGCTCCTTATTATTTAAAAGTTTTATAGTTGCTAGAAATGTTTTATTCTCTTACCCAAAAACACTCCTGTCCTGGTGCCGCTGGCCTTCTCCATAGGAATCCCAGCATTTTCTAAAGCTCTGTAAACACACTGAAGGAGCTGCTTCTGTTGAGGATCCATTTGTTCCACTTCACTGTCGCTGATGCCAAAGAACTTGTGGTCAAAATCATTAAACCTGGAGAAAAGAAAAGTTTGAAACCGCTGAATCAATTTAGGAGATAAGTATTTGAATAGTATTATAAGATAACATTTTTAATTTAAAATATGGAGAAGCCACTTTTAACACGTCTTGGTTTGTTTCGGAAAATACCAACATCTGCAGTTGTTCCAGAGCTGAGTTTTTAATATGAAAATAGCTCCTTCTTCATTTTTCATTATTTATTTGTACTTTTATCAGGAGCAACACAAATCTTTACATATTCATTGTTGTCACTTAGTGACCACGTATAGGTTCAAAGATCATATTAATGAGAAGATGACACTATACTCTTTCATTTCAATATATTAATTATATTTCATCCAAAATATTTTTGTAATATTTTAATAGACCAGTGCATCGAGTAATATCTAAAAGATGAAATCAAAATAAATTGACCTGGTTTCTTTTACCCATTACAAAATAATAATAGTAAATAATATTGAGACATAAAATGTGGTAAAACATTTTATTATTTCTGATGAGGAAACGATATGTTATAGAGTATACTGAAAATCTATATGCTGATATTCACAAAACCCAGAGTAAAGAAACTTCTAGATCTAAATATGATAAGATTTGAACTCCATACCCGTCAATGAGAGCAGCCTTGGCTGTGCGGGATTTACCCGCTTTGTTTTCGTCAGGGTCGTACCACACGGACAAGTCGAACCTCTTTTTGGGAATTGGCAAAGAACAGTTTCTCCCATCAACAAGAACCTTCCAGAAATTATCAAGCCCTTCTCCTGTTTGGAAACATCCATTTTCTATTATACAGAATAACATTTTTCAAAAATGTTAAATGTTTTTGATTAAAATATTACCTCCAGGAAAATTACATCCAATGCCCACAACTGCGATTACATCCTCAGCTTCCTCCATCCTCTCTGTGCACAAGAGAAAATCAAAAATCTTTACTGCACCATCATGTCAACATCACTCGTCCCTGCAGGCGTCTCACATCCAGAAATAAAAGTGGTTAATATACTGTGAGAGTGTGTATTTAGTCCAGTTTAGTCATGCACCAGATCTCCCATACATCCGTACCGTTTGTCTTTTCCCCCAGTGATGCTATCACTGCCGGACCCGCAGCTGATTCTTATAGCCAGCCTCTTTTCTTTATAAAAGATTAATGATTAATTGTTTATGTGGCCATGGAGATGAAGGACTTCAGTGCACACATTTATGGCGCCTTGCAAATGATTACACCCAGTTTAATAAGTAAATCAATATGTTATCCAACAATGGGTGTGGGGGTGACTCCAGGTCTCATTTCATTGCATTTTATCACAGTTGTATCATAATAAAACAATCAGGACGTTAAGTTTAACATGAAACCTCTCCTCTCAAACTTAATTCATCTAATATTAATATTAATAAATGACAGAAGTTTACATTAAATAACAGCCATTATTAACGATTAGGCCATATCTTAATGGGTCAACACCTTTTATATAATGTTTACTACATGTGTTAAATGAGAGTGAGACTAAGCGAATGTTTAAATAAGCTAAGTTCAAGGTCGTCACAAAAAGATTTCTTTACAAATTAATCATCAGAATCAAAACTTTTTAATAAAAACGTTTGTCTTTAAAACATCCAATAATAATAAATGTATTAACACCCATAATGTAAAAAAAAACTAATATCCAAATTTACCTTTGTGCAAATAATAAATATTCATAATATTAAATCTCAGGACAATCAGAGCAAAAATGTAGGAGTGTTTCACAGGACTTCAGGGGGTCCTCGCCCCTCAACTCGGGCCCCCAGGTAGTTGCCTATTGCTACGCCCCTGCAAACATGTAGAAATGACTGTTTTCCTCAAACTTATCCTTCCTGCAGCATTTTAGGTTTCTTTCACCAACTATCTGTTGAAAAGTAAAAGGTGAATACAAATATACTTTCCTATTATTACTAATTTACTATAAATAATAAAGTAAAACTAAATAAAAGTTAGATTTCACTGAAATTGATGAAAACAGCATCTCATTTTAAGACATCATTTTTTTGTTTATCTGGGTTTTTAAACAGAGTTCTAAAAAACGCTGTCTTCCCAGGAACTTGTCTACTTTTCCGATAGTCGTCTTGGCTGCAGTTACCTCTGTAAAACTTGATGAACATCGGAGCAACCTTGGTTTTATTGTCTTTATCAATCCTTCACAGGTACACTGGAATCATGTGGCAATATTAAAGTTTTAACTCTTTATTACTTCATGTCACAGCAATGACAAAGACCCTGAGGTAAGCGGAGAAGTAAGCAATAAAAGAAATCATAGGACTGACTTGATGAGGAAGAAACCTGGTTGTACCAATAACAACAATAAAATGATAATGCTGCTTTATCATGTTGTGGTTTTGCACTTTTTCCATGTGTATGGCCAAAAAATATGTTTCTTTATTGAAGACTTGTGTGTCCTTTAAACAAATACACATCAAGAACGGAAACAAAGTGATGGAGTGTAAGAGAGTTTAATTTCAGAAGAAATTGTACAGAAAATAATTTCAGACATGAAGGATGTAGTGCTTTTGTAATGTAAATTATCTTAATAGTTTCTTTATTATAAATATTTCCAGTCCAATACAAAATACTGTATGTTTGTATGTAAAACAAATACAAACAGGAAGTGTAAGAAAACATAGGTATTTATCTATGACAGTAACAGTAAAAAAAAACCATCACATCAGACTGCAAACTGTCGGATTTCACTTCAAATCCAGACTCATCCTCACGTAATGGAGAGCAGACGGCAGCTCAGGTCCCACAACTTCTGAGCCACGTCGTCGTCTTTTCCAGCTGCTGAACAGTTTGCAGGAGCACAGTCACTGTTGGAAAAGACAAAGACATCATGTATCTCATAGCGTTCTTCTGTTAGGAGGAAATGTATGGATTGCTGTGTACTGTCTAAAACAAAGTACCTGTAGTATCCACCACTCTCCTTCTCCAGCGTCGGCTCCACCGCACAGTAAATGGTCGTCTGAGCTCCCTGCACAGAGTCTTTGGTGAAGGGACTGACCATCCTCATGATGAACTGCTGGGGGCCGCTGAGGTGGCGCCATAAGTCTGTCTGGACGACTCCAGGGTGGAGAGAGTACGTCGTCACACCCGTGCCTGAGGGAAAGGAAAGTAAATAACATGTTACTTTAAGAAAAGTGAAGGAAACCAGAGCTGCCATATGGAGCTTTTCAGATAAAATGGAAACCCACAGATAAAAGAGTGCGGCGCTGACCTTCTAGTTTTTTAGCGAGCGTGTGGGTGAAGAGGACGTTGGCGAGCTTGCTCTGGGAGTAGGCTTTCGCCTTGTTGTAACTCTTCTCGCTGTTGATGTCGTCCAGATTGATGGCGCCCCAGGAGTGAGCCATGGAGGACACAGTGACTATTCTGGCCGGCGCCGATCTTTTCATGAGGTCAAGCAACAAATGTGTCAACAGGAAGTGACCTGGAGAAGAAGAGGAAAAGATAAACTTCTCAATGGAAACTTCATAAATGGAATATTTCCCTTTGAAAAGAAATCTCATTTATATCACACTAAATTCAGTCATCAGGTTCAAACACTGTAGTAGTTGAGTATATCATTCACCTATCAAAGGTCAGAAACACATCAGATAAAAAATGATCACAGAGCTAATGAGACACGTGAGCCGGAAACTGATTTATCCATGTTTACCAATGTTATTTCCAATAAAATATTTTCTTTTGTTGAAAATGTTCAAATGCATTACACAGTGGTGAGGTCCAAACCAACCAGCACAAGTTTTAAGTGGTAACATTTGTCTGTGAACTTTAGCAGGAAAAAGTTTGTCCCAAGGGACACTAGTACTATCAACACTAATCAATATTTCACAGCAAACCGATACTACTGCCAAATATAATGCCAAGTATCACAGAGTACGTGAATGAGGACACATTAGTGTTCAGCTGTTTGGAATGTCTGTAATGATTGAATTTCCCCCTGAACACGTCTAAACTGTTTAAACAGCATGACCTCAGTGTTATTGAGAAAGAACACAAGCTTCCCAGTGGGACCTTTTCAATTCTAATTAGTCACAAACGCTAAAAACGCTTTAACAGTTTCTCTAGTTAATTATCTGGAAACAACGTGGGCATCAAATTTAAGGATATCATTTGGAAAAAGAAGAGCTTTTTGTTTTATGTCCGGCCCTGTTAGTTTTGATGTCATGATGAAACTGTGCTGGGTCAGCGATCTTCTCCTCACCACACAGATAACGTGGATTTATTTACCCATGTGATTGACACCGATCTGCATCTCAAAGCCGTCTGCTGTTTGCCCATAAGGACACACCATCACGCCGGCATTGTTGATGAGGATATTGAGTTTCGGCTCCTCTGTAGAAAAGAGCATGAAAATGAAAATTGCTGTTTTTGTTTCTTTTTAAATTCTTTTCATCTGAACAGATTTCTACAGTTTTACCTTTGTTGATGGCTTCAGCGAATTCTTTGATGGACTTTGTATCTGCCAGGTCCAGTTTCATGCAGAGGACATTCTTGTTCTCTGACTTTTCGATGATGTCTTTAACAGCGGCGTCTGCTTTCTCCATGTCCCTGCACGCTATGATGACCTTCGCCCCTGAACAGAAAAACAAACAGCGGTGAAATACAACAGTGAAAACGATGCCAGAATAAATATAACAGCTGTCTGTCTGCAGGGTCCAGACAATCAATAGATATTAAAGTGACCTGTGGAGAAAAGGGAAGACAGCACCCTCTCATGACTAAACGTGGACATTACTCAACTGGACTTTCAGCTTGCGTCACTTCCAGTAACTGACGCAAAAGGATGCACAGTTTGTCTTGTGAAAAAGAAAATGGGTTTCACAATGTGGGTGGAATTTTGCTTCATCACTTCGTTTGTCAGCAGGATGACACAAAATCTGGGCCAAGAAACAACCAATTAAAGAGCCAGACTTTTTTTTTCTTTTTCACATTTTTCAACAATTTTCCAGGGAATAATTCAGGAATCTTTTTTGTGTGTGAATATTTCAGGGACTGATTGAGACACTTTGTACTAAAACTTCACATGATTTCCACACCCAGATCGAATTATAGATGATTAAGTGTAAAGAAAACGTAATTCCAGTCACTTTCCTAATATTTATTGTAGATATATTCTGATACCAGCATCAGACATGACATAGATACCGCCAAAAATATCAGGTCGCTCATCAGCCAGTGTGCAAATCTATGTACCGATCTCGTGACTTTACAGTTGCAGAAGAAGTGATTTCCAGTTGTGTAGCTTTTGCCAGAGCTAATTTATTTATTCTATTTTTATTTATTTATTCCTAGTTAGAATATGCACTGAAACCGGATCAGAACTCGGTATAAGCTGATCAGCAAAGTCCAGGTATCAGTATTAGCATCAGGATGAGATCAACATCTGTAATGTGAAGGTGAGGAGGAGGATTTTGAAACCAGATCCTATTAGGAACAAGTCAAACGACCAGAAACATATCATGTAAGGTTTTTGAATGAACAACACAAGGCTCCCAAACACTGGGGGTTTCCCAGTCATCATGACACAGCAGAAAGAGAGATGAAGAGCTGTGATAACGAGTCAGATGATTTCATGTGAATCTGGGCTGTGTGTTCGGTGGGTCTAACCTCTTTTAGCCAGGTCCAAGGCTGTTTGTTTACCGATCCCTGTGTTGGCTCCGGTGATTACCACAGTCTTGTCATCCAGCCTGACGTCAGAGGACCAGGGCGTCCGGAAGAAGTTTCTAACATGTTGTAAAAACAAGTAATAAAACTGTCAACGTGCACACTGATGAGAGGAAAGCTATATTTCATCTTCATAATCCCGTCTGAAGGAAATCCATTTCTGATGTTA